CATTAACATATTTCAAGTATAATTAGTTCCCATCAAAGTTACCGCACCTTCAGCGGTGAGAATTACTGATGGAGCTAAGCTAGAGGAGCGTAATCTGTACGGACGTAACTCTCTCTCCGGTTACAGAGCGCATGTGGGCTTGCTTGGCTGGTTGGTTGCTGTTGCTTATTATTATTATTTTGTATATTCAGTTATATATACCTGTGTATATATCAGTAAATAATAAGAGATAGGAGGATTCTGGCCCCTTAAGAATTTCTCAAAAATTGTTATTTTACTAATTTGCTTTTTTAGTGGAATGGCTCTTACCAATGCCCCTTTCTTAAGTACATTTTCAATTTCTTTTAAAGATGCTGTGCTTTCAAAATTAAACTCTTCCATGTTGTGCATAGAACCCCAACTCCTAGCTTTAAAACCTGGGGTTCAGTTTGTTATTTTCCAGGGAAGTTCTGGGTATGTCTAGATTGAAGGATTTTAAAAAATCAAAAGCATTGAATTATATGATTTAGAAAACCCATTCCATTTTGTAATTCTAACTTTACAGACCCACAGATAATCCTTCCCTGCTTTCTGTGGGGAAGAAAAAAACCTAAAAGACACAACCTAGATGCATCAGTCAGGGTTCTCCAGAGAAACAGAACCAATAGGGTGTGTGTATATGTGTGCATGTGCACGTGTGTGCGCGTGCCCGCGTGTGTGTGTTACTTACCATGGGGAATTGGCTCGCATTGTTATGAAGAATGGCAAGCGCCAACCTCAGTGAGCTGCAGACCCAGGAGACCAGTGGGGTGGTTCCAGTCCAAAGGCTGGCAGGCTGGAGACCCAGGAAAAGCCAACGTTTAAGTTCAAGTCTGAAGGCAGGAAAAACGGATGTCTCAACTCCAGGCAGGAGGAATTCCCCCTTATCTGGGGGAGAGGTCAGGTGAGGTACATCCACCTGAGGGTTTTATTCAGTCTCTCAGTGTAAATGTGGAACTCATCCAGGAACACGGACACACTCAGAACGCTGTCTGACTTTACATGGCCCAGTCAAGTTGACACATAAAATTAACCTGCACGCCAAACTTTTCTGAGACAGAGTTGAAAACATTTGTCTTCCTCTTTCTGCCTTAGAGGTAGGCTCAGAATTCTCCCAACAGCCCACAGCTATTGGCTAGATTGGGCCTGAATAACATTATTTCATACAGTCTTTCTGTATCTCTGAAGGCGTTAGTATTTTTAGGGTGTGTGTGCAGTTTTGTTTTGTTTTTAATGCTTTTCAGTACCTTCTTCTATACTCTTTTCTTTTTTGTTTATTTTTCCTGGCAGAGCAAATTGTACTTTCTAGCTCATTGGTTTTCATTCTGTTAACATTTGAATATTGCCCAGCCACCTGTTGAGCGGGGTGTGTGTGAGCTCGTAAAGAAACAAAATAGTAGAATGCACCACTGTTGCTATTTTTTTGGTGGTGCATCTTCACTCTTGATCCATGTGGTCATGTCCAGGACCGGTCAACACACTGTGTCGTCAGGTGCTGAGTCGCTGGTGAAAATGAGAGAAACATCAATGATGAGAGAGAATCATTGGCTGCCTACTGCAGCCGCCTCCCCCCCACCCCTTCACACACTGGGGATCCATTCCGCAACTTGGGCATGTGCCCCTACCAGGAATTGAACTGTGACCTCCCAGTTCATAGGTTGACGCTCAACCACTGAGCCACACTGGCCGGGCTTGCCTTCTTCTCTCTTGACATGCCACCTTCCGCAGAGGTGATGCATGTCTTAAAATCCTCTGTCACAAGTGGGCAGTGCTTCCAGAGGAAGCGAGGAGGCAGACTTAGCACCAGTGTTTGTGGCCCCTACTTTCCGGAGACCACGTCTTAAAGCAGGTCAGTGTAGCCTGTGGCTGCGGAGGCACTGGAGGAGGAGGCAGGCCGAGTGGTCATTCTGGCAGGTGTGTGGCTGCTCAACGCCTCCCTCCCCCTGTCCCAGACATTTCTTATTTCAGAAAGTACCCGATGCCTACCCCGGTATACTGCCTGGAGCAACCCCCTCACCGTGGCCAGGAGCAGGAAACTCACGAGCCTTCATTCGCTATTCCTGGGGTGGCCCCAGTTTCCCCACATGACTGCTTGATTAGCGGATGGCTAGTTATTGAGGTCAGTCTGACTAAGGCGACTAGACTGCTGCAGGTAGGGATGTCCCTCGCTCCTTATACTGAGCTTAGAGAAGTGTGTTGACGCATAACTGAAAAGTGCACAGTTAATGCAGGCAGGTTCAGGCATGGCTGGATCCAGGCGCTCATACCTGAGGACACCATGTCCCCCAACTATTGACCCTGCTTTCCTCCAGGTTGACTTCATTGCACAGGGCCAGGTTCAAGCCCAGAGAGCTCTTACCCTCCCCCTCAATTGCCAACCAGTAGCTGTGGTTAGGGGCTGTAATATACCGAGTGCATTTGGACTGAGCATCCCTGGAACCGGGCCAGGAGATGTACATGGAGGTGCGTTGGGTCTGCACTGAATGCGAGTAACCATGACTTTGAGAGTTGGGGTGGTGCCTTCTAAATAATTCAGGGTGTGCTGTTACGGGAAAAAGCACAAATAGCTGCTGAGCAGAAAACGTAGCCGATGTCTGCCTTTTGGCCTTTAGGATCCATCGAAGGGTTTTCTACCTGTTAGGGGAGACTGAGCTACCGCTGGTTCATGGCACAAAGTGAGCTTGTGTGTACATTTGAATTTGTTCATAAAACAACTCCCCCCTCCCTCCCCAAACTTGAAGTGGCTTACAGGACTTCATAATCTACAAAAGGTTTAGAAATGAGCAAGTAAGGAAATTAGAGTAAAGAGAAAGGCAGGGTAGGCCCCCAAGATAAGACGGGAATAAGGTGACTCTCACAAATCTCAAAGCTGGCGGGCAGCACCTGTGGGGCTGGTGAAAATGAGCTGCTCATTTGGCTCTGAGGTTCCTGGTATGAAGAGCATCTAGACCAAAAGGTCATAAATCCAGACTCTGAGTTTGACGTTTAACCACCCAGCCCTCCTGCCCCTGTTCAAAAGTCTCCCCTACCCCTTGGCAGGAATCTCTCTCTCTCACCTGGTCTTTAGGAAAGGGTCAATGAGCCCATTGCCTGGGAGCTTGAGTGTGAGTGTGTGTGTGTGTGTGTGTGAGTGAGTGAGTGTGACACTCCCTCCCAAGCCACAAGCCCCTGTGGGAGGACAGCCCCTGCGCGAGGCCATGGGAAGATGATAAAGATGATGCCTGTCTATGGTAACCTTAGATGCATGTCTTTTCCAAACTCCTGGGGCACTTGCCCTCTGGAACTTGCCCCTTTGCTCTCAGCATTGTGTTAGGAAACAAAGCGAGCAGACAAGGATGGAAACCTCTCTGTTGCTGGGTTCCTTCCAGGAACAATGGGCGGGTTAAACCGGTCACCTGTGGTGGGAGGCAGGCAGGTGAGTCACTGCTGTGACAGGGCAGAATGGGATCCTTAGTTGTGCAGCGGGGCCAGTCCTGTGAATGGACTCATGCTTGCCTGGTGACTCACGCTCCTGTTTACAAATGATCCATGGGAGTGCTGTGGGGACCGGGACCTCCGGGGTGGGCAGCCCTTCCGTGGGTAGAACTCAGGGCTCCTGTCATTCAAAGTCGAGATGCAGGGACAGCTGCCGCCAGTGGAAGGCCCTGGAGGGACACCAGTTTATAGGTGACGTGGCCCCGTCGCGTTTGGGGAGTTCACATGGCCTTTGGATGATTTTGTTCCAACTGGATACTCCCCATGGGAGGATCGGGAAATATGGTAGCCAAGTAAATTATTCTAGAACCGTGGCTGCTGCTATATAGATTTGTCCTTCATGTCTATCGATGTTCCATCTCCCGGTCTTTAGTACCCACTATGCTCATTGTGCTTTTTAGTGACTATCAGAACCTAAGGTAGCGGGTCTTGTGCTCAGTCTCATACTCTTCACTCTGAATTCCGTGAATTGGGATTAAGAAGGGTGAGCCATCTGTTCATGGGACCTTCCTTCGCATAAAACTTTTAAATCCTAGAACAGGGCAGGTGTACCTCCTTTACAATGGGCAGAAAAGACATAGATATTTTCTTTCTGAAAAGCCAATTAGAATGATACTTCTTTGTTGGGAAAGAGCTCTTCTCAGGCCTCAGGTCTCCCTCTACACCCCTAAGTTCTCTACACCAGCCAGAGAGCAGCAGCCAGCATCTGCACAGGCAAACCCGTCTACACAGCAGCGCTGTGAGTTGACTGAGACCTGGTCCGTACTCCCCCTCTGCCGTTGACTAGCTGTGTGACCTTGGGCATGCTCCTTAACGTCTCTGAGTCAGTTTCCTCCTCTGTGAAGTGAGAGGGACAGGACCTACCTCAAGGGTGGCTGTGAGGTGTAGCGGGGGAACACGCACCCCCCTGGCGGAGTAACAGGCAAGGAACCCAGGCAGCTTGCGCCCGGGGCTCCGGCTGGGTGGAGATTCGGGGCAGCGCATCCTTTTGGAGCGCCTAAAGTGGGAGCTGCCAGACTTTCGAGGGGACTGGAGAGGTCCGTGCCATTGCTTCTCTCTCTCAAAACGATTGCCACCTGGCAGAGGGAAAGGTGTTGAGACATCCCCAATAGCTGTAGGGATGGAACCATATGTAACTGCATTTTTGTGGGGTAGAAATACTGCATGGTTTATGCTAATAAAAGATTCGGTAAGGTAAGTTGAGAGAGAGAGAGAGAGAGAGAGAGAGAGAGAGAGAGAGAGAGAGAGAAAGAGATGAGAGAGGGGCTAGCCAGCTGGCTCCCTGGAGGCCCAGAGGCAGGAGTGGCCGCGTGCATTGGGGTATCGCGTGCCTTGGGGTAACGAAGGGCAGAGGTGGGGGAGCGGGAAGGGATGCCACAAGGTCTGCATGGAGGAGGCTGTTACGATGCCGCTGGAGGGGGTCCCCAGGCTGGATGGCAGGGAGGTGGACGAGCTCTGGGTTCACTCCCGCTGAGCCTCACTCTGTTCCCCTTTCTTCCCGGCCGCAGTGTCCCCTCCCTTGCTGCACTCAGGGCCACGACTGTCAGCACCTCTACCCCCCCTCAGACTTCACTGTCAGCACTCAAGTCTTCAGGGACATGAGAAGGAGCCACTCCTTACAAAAGGTTGGGGAGCCCTGGTGTTTGGAGGTAGGTGGCGGAGCCGAATGACGGTATGAGATGAGCCAGCCCCGACATGAACCCGCCCATCCAAAGTTTACCTGCAGCCAGGGCAGGGCCCATCCGCCACGGCCCAGCTTCCCGCCGGGTCACTGTCGTGTCGGGTGCCATGATGTCTGGGTGCACTGACCGCTGATGGGTGTATCAGAGCCATAAAGATGCCAGTCTACCAGAAGAGGGCGGAGGGCGGGGCTCCCAGGGGCGGCCGGCGGTCCAGTGTCCTGCATAGCTTCTGTGAGAGCGAAAGGCACCTTATGCCATTAAACTTGACCCCCAGGAAATAAGTCTCTAGGTGTCTTTCCAGCTCCCAGTGGAGGAGGAGTTATTGCCTCCACTTTGCATAGCTTTTCCTTTGGAATCAGGGTGCCCAGGAAGGCTCCGTCCTCCGTGGGCCACCTTCCCGGGCAGCCGAGCACAGCTTTCTTCGCAGACCCGGCTCTCCAAGGACAGGGCGCATCGTCAGTTTCTTTTAAATAATTCAATATGTCGTCAATACCCCACGCCGCTCCGTGCTCGGCAATGACAGTTCCTTTCGGATTAGTGGTCCCAAGGAATAAAGAACATCGAGAGCACGCTTTCATCTTCAGAAAAGCAAAAGTCAATGCAGATGAAAATTTTAAACTAGCTCTTTAGACTTAAACAGCAAATGATTTTGTACTAATGCTAGCTTAAAAAAAAAAAAGATAAGTGAATATTCAAGAGCCCATCCGTAAAGCCCTCTGCCTTTAAAAAGCGTTTATTGTATACCTGCTATATGCTGAGCGCTATGCTACGTGTTAGGGCTCCGAGGACAGAATCGGGCCTAGAGCATATTAACACGTGCCCATGTGACTTCCCTTTGGAGAGAGAAGGGGTGGACTAAGTCATCTTTAAAAGCTTGTTCTAGTTTAAGAAGTACCTAGCCCTTTAAGAGTAGCAGAGACATGGAGAAAACCATACAGAAGAAACGTAGGCACCCACAGTTTTTTTTGTGTGTGTTTTTTTTTTTACCTGTTTATAATCTCTTCATTATTTGGATGCATTTCTTTTCTCAACATTCATGGGTCTAAACTTTAAAAAGTCTTTACTCAGGTTCGTGTTTTCTTTCCACTTGACATAGCACCCAGGATGCTATATAGTCCCGTGTGTCTTAGCTCTGGTTGGTCACGTCACAGATTGGCATCTTGTGGAAATCTTGCTATCTGACCATTCCCCTTTGGCCAGGTGTGCATGAAACAGAGGATGTTCTGGACTGTGCCTGGATTACCTGGATCCCAGTGTGTGTGTAAGCCATGTCCTTTAATTGGCCTGGTTCTGACAGAGCAGGGGGTCTCCCCTTCTGTGTAGCATCTGGGCCCAGATGCAAGCTTTTCCTCAGCAGCCCCTCCCTGGGTCATCTATTATAATAAAAGCGTAATATGCAAGTCAACCGAACGGCCAAACAGCGGAATGACCATCCGGACAACCTTCTGGACAAAGCCGGGGCTGTGAAGGCCTGCCCTTGCATGGATTTCGTGCATCGGGCCTCTAGTCTTTTAGTAAGTGCAGTGGTTCATTCTGACTGGATGAAAAGGCCATAGCTGTTCCTCCAGCAGGGCCTGCGAATGCTAACTCATTAATCTTTGGTCGGAGTTATGAGGCCGATAAAGGAGAACCAGACACCCATTCAGAGTCTGAGGAAAACGAAAGAGAAAGACTGGATTTCTGCCTGACCCACAGATTAGATCCCTGGCGCCAGCTCTGCCCCTAGGACGGGGGAACATCTCCTGGGAGAGTGCCAATATGTGCTGCTTCTGGACTGGGGCCCAAATCTCCAACTGTGACTAGGTCAGGCACGGCGACACCACTCACGGGCTGTGTGAACTTGGCAAGGTACCCTACTGCTCTGCCTCAGTTTCCCCATCAGCGAAGGGGGATCCCACAGGGGCTGTTCTGAGCATCAAATGAGGAAGCCTGTAAAGTGGGGGCTTGGTCAGAGGAGCTGGTGCGCCTGGTCTGGCACAAGCACCCGGCAGGATTCTTAGGGGCTCACGCACAGATAGTGTGGCCATGTGATGGGCGGCCACTGCTGGGGCAGCTCAGTTGTGTAGCCGGCCTCCCATGCAGGCGTTTCCAGAAATGTATATGGCTCCTTTGGAGTGTTTCCTACTGTGAGAATTGGGGTGGTGTACGGAAATCCCATCCACAGCACAGCACAGATGTGCTAGAGGAGGCCCTGGGTAATGTCATGGAAACTGCACTCGGTTGGAGGCAGGACTGGGTGTAACCCCAATGTCCTCTCCCCTCTGTTGGCAACGCGCTTCACCCTCCAGGATGCAGTCCCCGTGTCTGTAAAAAGGGGTGGCAGTGGAGTACCTGCCCTGCTTCATGGGGACCTGTGAGGAGCCCTTGAATCTGTTCACAGTGACGTTTACCACACATTTTCTGCGGTCCAGGTGTTTGCCTATGTTGAGTCTTCACAACCTGGCAGCAGCACTGAGAGGGAGGTGCAGTGACTATTCCTTTTTGCAGAAGAACCACAGGGAGGTTAAGCAACTTGCTTAAGGTCACACAGCGAAGGGGCAGAGCTGTGACAGACCCTGGTTTGTCACAGCAGTAGCCCGTGGTTGGAGCCTTCCTCACCAGCCATCTGCCACCTGCTAAAGGAGAAGGTGTTGGTGTTCAGTACCCCCAGCCTCCTCAGGAGCTGGACAGAACTTCTCCTTCAGGACAACTAAGTCCCATTTTTTGCTCTACAAGTACCGTATTCTGGTACCTTCCACCCCGTCCATATTTAAGGTTCACTGTCCCTCCCTTTTCTTTCCTGCAGTTCAGCTGGATTTCTCACTCTATAGTTCTCTCCGCCAGGGAATGAAGGTTGGTTGACCAGTTGAGTAAATATGACTAAGAAAGTCGATACCCACCTGGGCAGCATGACTCACTTCTTTCTAGTTAGCTATTCCTGTACCTGTTCACGCCAGCCGTACACAGTCATTACATTGGGGCTATTAACCGGTTTAATAGTGACAATAATAGGGTGTGACCCATGGCATAAATGCATTCAGATAAAAAGCAAGTGTTTTTCCTGTAATTGCTTAGTCAATACCATTTTCACGGAAATGCTTGCAAACAATCTTTTAAAAAGTTCTTTGTCCCAGTCCTTCCCTTACTCCTTGCTTCCTTCCTGTTCGGGCTTTCGACACGTTTTTCCTAATCTGTGGAGATAAGCAAGATGGTGCACCCTGTCCCTTCTGAGGTTTTAGTTGACCCTCCTTTGTGCTAGTGTTGAGGCTATTTGTATCCCATGTTTAGGGATACATGAGTGTGTGTGTGTGTGTGCGCGCGCCTGTGTGTTCAAGCGGGGGGGACATTATTTGTGGTACTGGCTTATTGACCTCTCAACTCATACATTTAAGGAGAAAAGAGACTTCTGCTAACGTTGCAAAGCTAGTCACACAGACAGGGAGTTAATCGTTCTGGTGGGAGGAAATGAAACTTTTCTTCGGTTTATTAGACCACATCCTATAAATCTGTGGCTTATTATATGTCTGATTTCTGAAAGCATGGCATCATGGCCGAAGTTTTGTTTTTGCTTGTTAGTCATTGAAACAAATACAGATGCTGCTTCATTTCCTCGGCACCCTATTTTTCAGTACAGGTTATGTATGGAAACTCTGGGTTTTCACAACACAGTGCATAGAAGGGAAGTATTGGCTTTATAAATCTCTGCTTTACAGCTATGGACCGGCAAGCGTTCCGTTAGGCTGAAGTGTTTAATGTGCCCTCCCCCTCCCATGTCCACTGCGCAGAGGGCTCTGACATGTGGGGGCTTCACCGAGGTGTCCTGGTTACCTAGAGAAGCAGGATGAGAAAACAGCACAGATACTTCTGGAAGGCAGCGTTCACATTTTGACAGACTTCCAGTCTTTTTAAAGATGTGTTTTAAAAGTCATAGGCGGGCTCATAGCATATACACATTTGTTTTCTGCTTATATTACATCGCTAGTCATAGACACACTTTCCTAGGTCTGCCCCAAAGACTTTGTAAAACCTCTAAGGGTTGACCATTCTAGAAGGGGGCGGCCCTCACTCTGCTTGGTCATCGCCCAGGAGCAAACAGACCACTTCTCGAGTCTCACTATTACGGTGCATCTCTTAGGGGAGAGGGTGCGAGTTGAAAATGACGAAGACAGAATGACCCGGATGTTGCAGAATGCCCACGTGATCTACATACCACGGCTTAGCCCTGGTCCATCTGTGCAGGCGGGCCTGCAACTCAGCCCTCCCCCAAGTTCACTCTTGGAGTGGGATGGCTATGGGACCACCCGTATTATTTTATTTCTCCTCTCTCTCATTCTCTCTTTGCACACCTTCTTTGTTGGAGTCGTCTTAAATGAGTGCCCGAGTTCCCTCCGCCCATTCACTGCAGAACCGTAAATGGGTATCGTGGTGCCCAACTTGGAACTTGGCGAGGTCCCATTCCCAGGGCCTCGTGACCAGGCTGTAGCTCCCGCTGCCGATCGGCGCCCCCTACGTGGTGGACACAGCTTGTCCTGCACTCTGCACTGGGGAAACAGTCCCAGAGCGGGAGAGGGTCACTCTGGGTCCTGTTGCCCCTGTCGTGTGCCATTCCTTGGACTGAACTCTGTGTGTGCTGTTCCTCTCACATCTTCCACTTGCCTTCCACCCTGAGAAGCTGGTGCAGGGGGTAGGAAGTGCAGACTGAGTGCGTGGAGATCCGCGGAGGAGCTCCATCCATGGGGTGGGTGGCGTGTCCTCTCACCCTAGGTCCACGCCTCTTGGGCCGCCTGACATCCACCCAGCCGCCATGGGCTGTCTCCCAGCTCTTATCTCTGTGACCACCTCCCTTTTCTCAATTCTTGGTGAGTCACATGTTTTCTTTGCATCCGGTGTGACAAAGGTCATTAACAGAGAAGACTTGGGCCTTGGACGCGTGACATGCTGTCACCCACGCGTTTGTTTTTTGGGCGCTCCCCTTTGGTCATTCTGTG